ACACACACACACACACACACACACACACACACACACACACACACACACACACACACACATGCACGCACGCGTGGTGAGTCCTTGGCCATCAGTACATGCATCTTGGGCAGACTGTTGAGGTTCAGCCTCCTGATGAGTCGGTGGAAGTCCGACACGCCACGTGTTTCTGTTTTTCCTTTGGGCTCGACGCTCGACTTCCCTCGGCTTCGACGCTACTTGAACTTTGCTCTCCACACACACACACACCCACACCCACACACCCACACACACACACTCATGCACACACACGTGGTGAGTCCATAGCCATCAGTACAATGCATCTTGGGCAGACTGTTGGGGTTCAACCTCCTGATGAGTCGGTGGAAGTTTGATGAAACAGTCTGGCTGAGTCATTTTGTGAGTTATGTATAGCAGACATAACAACGCTCACGCATACTCAAAACTCACCCACGCAGAACACACACACCCACTGTGACCCACACACACGCACACACACACACACAAACACACCCACCCAGCATCCACACCATCTCTGCATCCTGAAGGTTGGACGCTAAGGCTGGAGCTGTGCAATGCGTCAAGGTTTTCGAATGACGGCACCTTGATGACTGACGGCGAGTTTGTTATTAATTTCTTGCTTTCGTTTCTTTGTGGTCTTGGAACTATGAGGGAGAGAGAGTGTGTATGTGTCTGTGTGTGTGTGTGTGTGTGTGTGTGTGTGTGTGTGTGTGTGTGTGTGTGTGCCAGTCTGAAGACTCTGACGTTCTGAATTGAACTGCAAACTTGAAGTTATGAACTTGACTTACTTAATTCAAAGTTTAAACTTCAAAGTGGAGCTGTAGGAAAATCTTCACAAATAGGACTCCATCTGCACAAATAGGACTCCATACTTGATTACCAGACGCTATGGAGGGCCCTACCCCAGTATCAGCTCTGATTCATGCTGCTACTATGGTAGCAGCAGGTGTTTTCATGATGGCAAGGGGGTGTTCTCCCTTATTTGAATACGCACCCAAGGCTTTAATTGTGATGGGAGCTCCGAAAAAAAAATTATCTGTTTCTTTAGTATTGTGCCTGCTTTGCACTGTTTGCCACTCCGCATGTCTGCTAGTTGAATGTGCTTGTTGATTTGCTGCAAGACAGGTGCTCTTATTTGGCGTGCATCTCTGTGCATTGTGCTTTCTGCTTGGTACACGACTATCTGGTCTTCAGCCTGATATTGCAATTTGGTTTTCTGTCTATTGCTCTCGCTCATTTTCCTTGCACTTTTTTAAGTTTTTTTTTTTTTTTTCCCTTTTTTTTTTCTTTGTTTCTCTTTTCTGAAAGGTTTTCCTACCCCTGTTACGGAACGCTTGCCTTATTAACTGCAGTAGAAAAACTTGTTGCCCCACTTTTAATGTGTCTTTTCTGTGTACACAGGACTGAGGCCAAACTCGGTGCTAGGCTCGAGAACTGTGGTGCACAGATTCTTGGTGTGCCTGGGAAAATTGTCTCCTGCTGGAGCGTCATTTGAGACTGTGAAATTGTCCTTTATCCGCACTGGGTGAAGGGAAGGGAGCCATTAGCTTCAGCTGGTGTGCAAATTTGTCTTCATTGTGTGGTGGCTATGTCTACTTCGATTGTGCATGTGTGTGACCGGGTACACCGGATCACGGGGAAAAACGAGTACCCCTGTTGGGGTGGGTTAAGTGCTCATCTTGGGGCTTAACTTTCACCCCGGTCCACTTTACCGTTTGGTTGAGTGTTTGCCTCCGGATAGGGAGGTCATGTGTTCGATCCTTGGACAGTGCGGACTTATAAAAAATGCATTTTCAGATGTATTTTCAGAAGGGGTGAGAACCTGTCAAGTGGAGTGTGCCCAACAGGGCATATAATGCTCCCATATAAGGGACACTGGGCCCGCTTTCCAGCAGGTGAAGCTCCCCAGTGTCCCCACCTATAGAATGGGGCCGTCTAAAAGGGTGTTCTCTCCTGGAGGATGCTCTTACCCCCTCCAGTAGACAGGCCCTGTGGAACGTTTGTCAAAAAAAAAAAAAAAAAGGTGGGGGCAAGCCTACCGCAGGCAGGGATACGAGCCCATGCCTGTTGTAGGTGACCGCAAGTTGATGGCTCGACTGTGAAATTGATTTTACGTAGCGTCGATGGCTCCACTGTGAAATTGTCATTATACCTAATAACTAGCGTCTTCCCCGCTCCTGTGCAGCCAAAATGAGGGTGCATTCCGTTCGGGCAAAGACGGTAGTGTTAAGGTGATATTATTATAGTAAATATTTCCAAAATGCCCAGTATTTGAGTGGACCGAACAAATTGTCGTTCTACCCCTGACTACTGGGCGTCCAAATTGTACATATACTCAGATGCAACCCCCACCCCTTTTTCTCTCACACATGCACACTTGCATGTGTGCATGCATGCACCGCAGACCAACACACTTATGTGAGAGGCATTTTAAAAGGGAGATGCAAGAGCAAATAAAATGGGTACCCGAAAGAGCACTAAGGAAAGACACTTAAACCACCAGTACATCCAGCTATTGGCCGCGGGCCCTTTTCGGAGGCCGCCCGCCACCAATTGGATTTATCTACGCTGCTGGGCCTCTGAAAATTTCATAGGGGACGAGTTTTTTTTTCAGCAAGGCTGGGGCCGTGCACTGGCGGTTTAAGAAAGGGAAATAGTGGATCTATTGTGTTTGATGTTGCATGATATAGAGGTACAAGTGTTTCATTGCTGAATTGGCTCATCTCAAGGCTTCATTGTCTGCAATAGAGCTAGGAAGATTTTCACGCCCGGCCGGGCTGGCACCCGGGCGTGATGCCCAGTTCACCCAAGTATGAAAAAAAATATGTTTTCTTTCTTTTATTTTTCCGGCGGGTGCTGTTGTTCTGCGCTCGGCCCGAAGGGCCCAACTCCGGGGTGTTTTAGATTTTTCATTTAGTCGAGGTTGGGGGGGTTGTGGGGGTTGTGGGCGGGAGGGAGGGGGGTTGTTGCCTTTGTGGGGAAGGATGGGGAGCGGATGAGGAAGTTGAGCGGGGATGATCAGGGTGGATGGAAGTGATGAAGGGAGGAAGAGGGACGGCGAAGGTGGAGCCAGGAGGGAGGCGATGGAGGGAGTAGGGAAGACGACGAAGGACTGGGAAGGCGATGGACGGAGGAGGGAGGCGAGATGGGGGGAGGGATGCAACGATCTCTCTCTCTCTCTCTCTCTCTCTCTCTCTCTCTCTCTCTCTCTCTCTCTCTCTCTCTCTCTCTCTCTCTCTCTCGTTGCCAGTGGTGGCTGCCGTTCGTCGTCCGTCTATCGTTCGTCGAACAAGGTTGTGGCCATGACACCTTGTGTGTATGTCGCAACGACGCGACCTCCTTTTTTTTGTTTTTTTTCTCCCTCGCGTCGAACTTTTCGTGGATATGGGGGTTGAGGAGTAGGAAGAAGAAGAAGCAGAAGAAGAAGGGGGAGGTCGCAAGACACACACACACACACACACACACTCACCTTGGGCGATGACAACGGGCAGGGGGCGAAGGGCGAAAGGCTTGGGGCTTCAACGGTGGCCGATCTTCGAAGAGTGGCGGGGGGGGGAACTGGGAGGTACTTACTTCACAGGGGCTGCCCTCCAAGAATCGCCGTGCGATCTCGTGCCGACTTTTAAAGTGGAATGCCCGCGCGAAATCGTGCAGGGAAAGTTGGGAAACGGAAAAAAAGGGCGATTTCAGGCTCTGGATCTTGCAGTTTGAGCGCCTGAAATCGCCCTTTGTTTTTCACAAGCGCGGGGCCAGTAAGGCCTCTGCGCAATTTTGTTTTCAGAGTCTGCAGACCCTTTTGGAGCCTCCACCGTGCCCCAGGGCAAATATATATCGTTTTCGTTTTGTTTTTTTTTGTGCAAACAATGCCCGCGGCCCTGCCCAGGCATCATGCCCGGCCGGGCACCCAGGCGCCATCCCTGGCTGCGTCTGGGGATCCGAGCGCCCAGGAAATCACCCTAGCAATAGATGTAAAACTGCATCGATTTCGGATCTACTCATCTGGGTGGAACAGGGGCTGTTGTGGTGAAAATTCAAAACACACACACACACACACACACACACACACACACACACACACACACAGTTTCCTCTGCCGATTCCCCAGTTCTGAACCAGTCCAGTATACTGTGGCAAGTAAGAAGACTTGCCGAGATGTTTTCATCCACGCAGTTGTCCACCTTATGGCATTATGTATCTTATACCACCAGTACGTCGGCCGCAGGCCGCTCACCGCAACTTTCGGAGGCCGGAAACGCGACAAAGGCCATTAAACCACCAGTACTTCCTAAAGCCGTGCCCATATACAAGCCACAATTTTAGGAAAAGTCCGTACAGGAGCGCCAAAATTCATCCGACTAGAAACAATTCTACTCTATTTTTTTTCCGTGGCAGACAGCTGGGCCAAGTACTGGTGGTTTAGTGAGATTTATCAGCAGCCGCCTGGCCCCAAAAGATACGGCCATAAACGAGCTGCATATTTGTTTTTCAAGCGGGGAAAATTACTGGTGGCTTAAGATTCTCCTCATTTCCTCTTTCTCCTTCTATTCCTGCCTCTCTCTGCTCCAGATGTCCTTGACATTTGTTATCCCCTATTAAACCATCAGTACTTGGCCCAGCTATCGGCCGCGGAAAAAAATAGAGTAGAAACATTTCTAGTTGGATGAATTTGGGCGCTCCTGTAGTGGCCCGTACGTTTCCTAAAATCACGTAGCGTTAACGGGCACGACTTTAGGAAGTACTGGTGGTTTAAAAGGGAAAAAAAAACAGCCCTTTCACTCTCTGATATTGGCCCTGTAGAAAAAGATTGCATGAGCCTGTCGTCCGGAGTTCCTGTACGGCAAGGTTTGTCTGCTTCCGCTTCCACTAGAGCTGGGGGGGCTGTCCACCCTTGGTGCTTGTCACTGCTGTCTGGTCCAAGTTGCCCTCGATATTGGTAGAGTGATGGTCCTGAGTGCTGGTCACACTGAGGTAAGATAGTAGGGATAGGGGGTGCACTGGGAGAATTAACGTGGGGAAGGGTAGGAAAGAAAAAAAAGGTGACGTGGACCTTCAGGCCAAGATTATGAATGATGGAACTCATGGAACGATGACCATGACCTTCTCTAAGCCACCAGTACTTCCGGGCCTCCTTTTCCCAAAGCGAATTGAGCTGCACGCCCCCCCAAAGAAAGAGAAAAACGAACCGTACGCAGCAGCACTGATTTTGTTGGGGGGTGGCTGGTGCCACCAGCCATTTCACTCAGGAATGCCAAGCACTGAACGACACCGTGCAAGCGCAGCCACATCGGAAACTTTTGGCTGCGAAAACTCCTGGTGTCCTTTACGCTAGAGCACTTTTGATTACTCCTGGTGGTTCAATAGCTTGAAGGCGAAGGGCAGAGGAAAGTTTTGCGTCGCACTTTTGATCACAACCAACCCGACGCTATGAATGTACATGCAATCATACACTATGCATCCAAATATTATTATGACCTCGTCCCTTCATGAATGGTCCGATGGGAAGAAAAAGCGGTACAGCATGCCAGAAAAACCCTATTTCTCCACCCTTTGCCCCCATTGTTGTCGCAGTACCGAAGGGAAAAACTAGAACAACTGCTCTCTATGGCCGAAATCCTTCGTGCTTTGGGCGCTTTGACTGGATATGGGTTCGTATCCCTGTTTGCGGAAGGTAGACCCTGCTGCTGTTCTTATATAAAATAAAATAAAGTATGCAGGAGGGAAGAGACCCGGGGCTTGATGCTTTCCCAAACAAATTTTATGGGTCCATCCATTTCTATTTTTGTCTTGGTTTTTTTTTTTTTTTTTACCAGTTCTCAATTTATGCACGTCATCCTTGCAAAGGGGCCATGCTAATCTTCTCTGCATTGCTACAATTTTCTTTCTTTATAATCGTTCCGAAATCGGAAAAAACTTCAAAAAAACAAAGGTCGTAGGCTCGCAATGAAATTCTGGCTTAATTTCTTGGAATTGTTACTTGAAGATTTTATGCAAGGAGTGCATGCGGTTCAAGTGTTGGAGACCTTTGGAGAGCTCATGGGTCAAGGGATGACGACCCTCCTTTATACAAAAGGAGGAAAACTGAAAAAGGCATATACCAACCCTTAACCCTTCTTCCAGTACTCTGGAAAACAATTTTGAAACCCTTAAACCCCCGGTACTTCCTAAAGTTGTGCCCCTTAACAAACCACAATTTTAGATAACATACCGGCCACTACAGGAGTGCCCAAATTCATCTAACTAGAAATGTTTCTACTCCATTTGTTTCCGCGCTGATAGTTGGGCCAAGTACTGGTGGTTTAACAAACAGATTCCAACCTCACATGAATACCACAATCTCCATGGAGCAATTTGGGGTCATGCCTCATAGGAATATTCAAGGCAATATCCTTCTAGTCTATGACCAATTTCGTTACACAAGGCAAAGGACGATAGAGGCAGCTATCCTCTTTGGAAATTTTGAAACAGACTATATGACCAAGGGCCATGTCCCACTACCGGGGGTTTAGTTTATGTTCCAAATATTTTGGCTGCAAGGCTTTCATATCATATGGCAAGGACCCATGTCTACTCGTAACGAGAACCAAACCTCGACAAGTGGAATATGGTTCCAGGTGGATTGAGTTTTTTTTTTCTTTTTTTTTCTTGAAATTTTGTAAATCTATGTCTAAAAACTTAATAAAAATAATGAAGTGTTGTCCGTATAGTTTTTTTACTATTGAAATTTTGTACATCTATGTCTAAAAAGTAGTAAAAACTTATTTCGTATATCTCTGTCTAAAAACTTAGTAAAAAAAAAAAGCTTTCATCCATGTATCTGCTTCTGGGTAAGAGTCGTTTATAAGACCACATCCACAAACGGAAATGGTCTACTTACCTCCCCCTTCACCCTGCTGAGGTTGATGAGACAAGGGCATCTGATTCTTCTGATAGGGCTTATAACTTGGACTAATGGAAAATTGTTGAAAAAAAGATGGTTTAGCTTGATCGATTTTTAAAAGATTGAGGCAAAGTTTTTGCAAAAAAGACAATTTATCTAGTTTAAAGCACAAGCCAAAATTGGGTAATTACTTTTTGTTACTTCAAGTATAATTGTGAGGTCAGCGACCTCGTGAATTGTTTTTTCAAAACGGAACTTATGAAAGCCTTTTTTTTTTTCCTTCCTCTCCCTCGAAGAAAAAGGTGATGATGCATTTTTATTTTTATTTTCAATTTAAAACTCCATGGAGGGAAACATTATGTGAGGTGATACGAGCATCCTCCCATA